GCCATCTCCCTCCCCTGGCAGCCGGTGCTGGCCGTGTGGTGCTGCCTGGGGTGGGTGGAGGGAGCTTTCCTGCAGGGAGGCACGCGTGTGCCGGTGGCTGAGCCGGCGGTGGCCAGCAAGTGCACCTGAGCTGGGGACCAAACGCTGCCCATGTGGGGCACCGGCTCAAGCCCTGGGATCTGGGAGAGAGCAGGCCACGGCCACGTCAGACCACACAGGCATCGTGGCCAGGGGGAGCGCAAACGCAGGGCTGTGGCTGCTCAGCCCCACGGCCTGGGCCCCAGTTGCCTGCTCAGAGGTTGTCCTGCACAGAGAGAGTTCCGCAAGACCTTTCCTTCACACAGCACTAAGCAGTGCTAACATCTCTCTCTTTTCCCTTCATCAGGAGTCAGCAGTGAATCAACTACAGACTCACAAGAAACAATAACCCCAGCAACTACAGGTAAGGAGCAAAAAGCACTCAGGCAGCCCCTTCTGAGGAGAGAGTGCAGTAACTCATTCCCAGGGAGCTCTGCATCCCTCCCAGGCAGGGTGTTTTCTCCTTACCGCTATGAATATTTCTAGGCTAGCCTCTCGAAAGAGAATTTCAAGGAAGGGTAGCTGGAAGTTTTCCTCTTGTGCTGGTAGTTTTCCAAGTGTTTAGACATGTTGGGTTGAAGTGGACCTGGGCTGGCTCAGGACAGAGGCATAAGCCTGAATGCTCTGGATAAACTGAAGATCTTGTGGGGGTAGAAACAAGAAGCTTTCCATGGTCTTGGGGTAGCAATGACAAGCTTGGCATTGGGGCAGAGGGAGAGATGTGAGGAGCCTGCAGAACCTTTGGACAGAGAAAATTTGCAAGGACAGAGCAAATTAAGTGGAGAGACAGGTTGCCACAGGAAAGAGATCACAAGCAAGCCTACAGGGTAAATCACACTGAGCAACAGGTTGCAGGAAATAGGGGCAAGGCACTGGTTAGAGTACAAGGCAAAGTAGAAGCAGAATTGGGAAAGGTTTTGAGGCATCATACCATGCTGCCTTCGATGGTCTTAGCATAACCAAGGTGTTAAGAGGGCTGACATATTAATTTATTTTCCCTTTTCCAGAAATGAAAACATCACCTTCAGCAACAATGCCACCAGGTAAGTAGAAGGAAGCAGTCAGCACAAATCTGTGAATTTTTACTGCTGTAGAAGTATGGCATAGTGGCCAGTTAATATAGTTAGTCATATTATGGTGACAGCTGTAAGCCCTGCAACAAATTCCTTAGTAGCATACTCTGATATCTATTGTGATATATATACTGTGATTATTATTTGGGAGCCTTCATTTTATTAATGTGTCTGCAGTAAAGGACCCTACCATGACATTGTATTATAATAAGGCAAGTACATACTGGTGCAGCATTGGCTATTTTAGTTTGCCTTTTTCTAACTTAGTCGCTGATTTTGGCAACGTCCACTATACCTTTTTTGTTTGTTTTGGTTTTAGTCGTATTATGTAGAGTTAGATTATGAATGCTCATTATGACAAATAATGAATTTCAGCCTTACTCTATCCTCAGTGTGATATCCTGCTGGATTGGGTAGGGAAAAGTTACTATACAGACATTAAACAACCAAGACATAGCCATGTGCTCTTTAATTGCACTTATACTCTATAAAACATACCTGGTAGTTTCCTCTAGTAGAATATATGAACTATTTAATATATGAACTACTTTATATATGAACTGGCTATTGTAATTTCATAGAAATTCTGACATCAATTATCTTTCATCTTTGTACCAGGAGACTTATGCCACCTAGACCCTTGTGGGAAAAAATTAGCTCAATGTGTTGTTTTAAATAGCAATTTTACCTGCCTGTGCCAATATGGATTCTACTACAGCGACAAGGATTGTCACAGAGGTGAGTTGCAGAAGGGCAATCTGTATTTTTAGTTACCTCACAGATAACTGCTCAGGTGAATTTTTCTTCCCACATCCCTTGTTCTCATTTTATAACTGAAAACATAATCAGTCTGGGAAAGTGACTGCTGAATAATGCCTTACTTTGCAGACAGCCACTGCTACAATGACCTAGATTGTTATCTCACAAAACAGTAACAGCCAAAGAGGTTAATGTGCTAGGTAAAGAAAGTGAATTCTCTGTTAGGGGTGCTGGAGCTTAAAATGAGTGAAAAGCAGGAAAAATTGCAAGTGTAAGCCTGACATCCATATTAATGGCCAGGATTTAAAAATGCCCAAACCCATAAAGACCTCTGAACAACCAGCTTGATTTTCCCTATGGCTAAACACTCATCACAGTCATGTTGAAGTGCATATCTGAGATGCTGCTAACAGCCAAGCATGTGAGCAAATGGGGCATATTTAAGTGCCAGCAGGCAGGATCCTCAAATTTACTTGTGAGCCTAAAAAGCAGGTAGATACTGAATCCCTTTCTCAGATATGGTGAGCCACATTAGCTGCTTATTGGCTGCAACTGCAAATTTGAAGTTCTTAACGTAGGTATTTTCTCACTAAATGTTGTAACACCTCAGATAGAGTCTTTTGTTAGCTTCAGGCCATGCTTACAGTTTAATGTTCTTCAGTTTCATAGTCTGGCTAGTTTGGTTGAGCCCAGGATCCTGCCTGCTTCCCAGGTAGCCAGAGCACATCCCCCATTGTGGCTGAATTGATTGAGTAAATGTTTGTCCCCTACTGATTCCTCCAGTTTATGAAAAATAGCACAGATTTATTTCTGCATGGTATTTCCCCACCTCTGAAGGCTGGAGAACTCTAAGGTGAAACCTGACTTACCTGAATGCTTTCTAATTAATTAATATTCTCTGTTCTCATTCCAGGGTTAATATTCCCGGGGGTCATTACAGTGAAAGGATCTTACAGTGATAATGTTCAAATTGTAAATTCTGTGGAATATGAAGAGGTGTTCCAAAATACAACAAACTTTGTGAGTAATGATTTTTTAAAGCTTTTTGTGTATATTTAATACTTTCCTGAATGTCATGCAGACTGAGGGACTACAAGCTGCCTTTAATATGGAGCCTAGGATAGTTTCACTTGAGAAATCAACTTCTTTCAAAGAATGCTTCACACTAGTTTAGACGTATTCATAAAAGACTTGAATTTTGCCCTCAGATGACTACATGCATGGCTCTTGCTGAAGTGAAGGGATTAAATAAGTAATGTCTGCATTTTTAGTGCCACTTCTATTCTGGGAAGTTCTCACATAAATTGCTCTGTATCTTTCACCATTCCCTCTCCAGAAACCATGGGGCTGAGCAAAGTTTTCCAACCCATTTAGTTTCTGATCTCCACTGTTTGCTGAGGGCTCAGTAATACTCAGTGGTATGAGTAAAAATGAGCAATTTTGGTTTTTCTTAAAGAAAGCTATCATTTTTACACAGCACAAACTTCTCAGAATGGCTGTCCAGCTGTGTCTAAATACCCAAATATCTTCCATAAGCATACCAGTATGAGTATTTTAATGCTATTAGTGAAATGGATATTCTGAGTGTTCTATGATTATAGATAAAATCTTGTAATGGATTTCCTGAAGAAATAAGATGAACAGTTTAATCCATGTTGTAACAAGTGGATTTGCTTATGTTGCTTTCTGGAAGTAAGGAAGAAGAGGTATGCAATGCTACCAGAGAGCTGATCAAAAAATATTCACCAAATATTAATCAGAATTCATCAAAAATTGTTATCAAATTATTAATGTTATTATATTGCTTCCTATGAATGTTTTATCAGAAAGTAATCAAAAATTGTTCATCCAGAATAACGTTAAATAATATTTTCCTCAATTTTTTGGTCCGACATATTTTTATAACATGGCTACAGAAGTGCATGATATGCAGCACTAGAATAGGTATGCAATAGTATGCAAAAGTGAAAATAGCATACAAAATAGAAAATAATTTTTATATTATTACAACAGAGGATAGTTTATCTTTCATTTCAGTTGACTTAGACATCTTATCCTTTTCTCACGGTGCCTCCTGCTTGTGTGGCAGTTGGAGGCAGCTGCCTCCACCAGTTGTTCCCTGCTTCACATGGGATGAGGGAGAGCAGTGACTTTTCTACTAATCCCATCCAACCCCCAGTGCTTTCATCAGTGCTATGCTTCTCCCCACAAGATCAACCCCTGATGATCCCACTTCACTGCATCTTAGGGACACATGCCACCTGTAAGGATGCCTACTTCTCTCTCTTCCCTCTACTTGTATGTAGGTTGGTACTGCAGAGACACCCTTCTAAGTGATGAGTCTGAAAGGGAGTATCTGTAGCTATCCAGCCAGTCAACCCTAATGCACTGCCTGACATTCATTCAACTCATGTCCCTCCATCCCTCCACTGCTATATTCCCTGTTTTACAGCACCACCCCACTGCTCCTCTTCTGCAATACCTTGCATGGTGGATGTGACAGATCAGCTTGCTTTATTTGTGCCTACAGTAGCATGTTCTGGATTAAAAATTTACAGCTGAAGCCTCAGTGCTTCATCTTATTTTGGTCTATGTTTCTGCTTGCCTTTAACTCCAATTCATTTATCTTTTACAGTTTAGGGATGCCTTGGGAGAATTACCAGGCTTTGTGCAGACTGTCATTGTGGAAATTCAGTAAGTTTGCCAGTTTGGTTTTTGCACAGTGCATGCTTCCCACACACCTATTTCCCATGGAGTACTCAGTTCAAGAAAGGATATGGGATGAGTTCAGTTCAGAACACGTTCTGTTAAATGAGGACATTCTTTCTGTATTTTTAAAGTTTCCCACTTTTAGTACCATGTAGCGTATAGCACTGTGCTATAACTAGCAGTCCCTGTGATATCTGACATGCCTCTGAAATTGTAACAATTAACTCTGAAGTTCCTATGAACAGGTCCAACTTGGAGTCACAGTTTAATTCAATAAACACCCTTGTTACAGAAGTCTACTGCATCTCATTGTGCATTTGCTGGCCTCTCCTGACAGCAGGCTGAGCAAAGATGTTACTGAATGGTCTGTGGTGACTGCAGCTGTGGACATAGGTCCTTTGCTGATCTAGGCGGACACTGTAAGATGTCCCTCTCTTCCCATCCCCATTTGTTACAGGTTACTGTCCCCAGAGCTCTGCCAGCTTCTCTGTGAGTGCTCCTTAACCCACATCAAGCAAAACCTGGCATGCTAGCACACACAGCAGTGTAAACCCTTTCAGTGAACCCCACGGATTAAGCAGTTAAGCAGACTGTTGTTCTAGCAGAGTTGCCAGGGCGGTAACTTCCAGCAGAGCGGTTGTGACAAACACGTGGGGCACAGTAACATCTTAATGCACTACAGCAATCTACCACTTAAAGGTATTTGTGTGCATATCCCAGCAGCACAAAATTCAGCTGAAGAACAGGGTAACCCCTGCTGTTCTCCACCTCACCCCAGGGAGATTGCTGTTCAGCTGAACCCAACCCAGCTACCATACCTCTACACTGCAAACAGGCCCTTCTGAATTCATTGTAGTCACATCCTGAATTATCCTCGCTAGGCTTCAGGATGGGTTCTCCACATCATGCCTGGATGACACCACAGGCTGATCTGAGCATGTAAAAGTTGGGATCTAACAGACAAGGTCCTCCACACTGCAGCTGGCTTGAGGTTAGCCCAGTAAAAAAATAGCAGTTGCATGCCAACAGCACACAAAGGAGTGATGTCATTAGCATTAAATCCAACAGCCTTTGCTTGCCAGCTACCTATTTATATCTGGATCTACTGGAAAGATGCCCATTAATGTATTCCTAAGCAAGACTTGAACTCATTTTCAGGTGTCTTAGCAACTACTTACACCGTGGGATGGAAGAAGCTAGGGGGGAGTGGGAGGTTTGGCAGAGATCTTCTCTCATTTTTGTATCTAGCTCGCTATCCCTATGGACTCTATGCAACTTTAAAATTATGTTCTCTGTACTTTTCAGACCTCTAGAAAAAGGCAGAACTGCTCGTCCAATGAGCGTAACAGTGACAAACCTGTTTAGGGAGAACTCAGATGTAAATAATGAGACAGTTACTTCTGCAATAATGAATGCAACAGGATCTTCATCCTATGTCTCTCACTACAGAGGTATGTAATTCCTTATTGTGGAAGTAAATAATCAGTAAAAACAGAGGTTCCTATCTTTAAAAGTGGTTAGAACATTTCTATGTGCAGCAAAGCCCATCAGAGCATAAGCCTTGTTGATTTTAAGGAGCTGAATGTTCAATCTTAGGCAATTTTGAAGACTCAACCATTCGGTGGTGGGCTTTCTTATCTTTTTAAGACTTTCTGATTCCTGCGTAAAGAAGAGAGGGAAAATACTTTTTCTCAAGTAAGCAATGGCATGTTGATTTTAACCTGCTGACTGTTAAGTGGCTGGAAAAATCAGGACAAAATATGTACAGATGTATATTGTGCTTCTGAGAATAAGCCGGTATTTCACTGGCAAAATAGGATGAAACTCTCTTCAGTCTTCTTCCATAATTAAACATGGTAATTGACATGAGGCCTCACTGATTAGCTACTGAGTGAAGTGATTCATTGGTCTAAACCAGTAAAGTCTTGCGTTACTGAAAGTGTAATATCTGGAGACTGATTTTGTAAATAAAATATGGATTTTTTTTTCTTTTTTTTGATATGCTAATATTTTGAAAGCAGCTTAAAGTTGTAGCTAATAATTGAAGGAGTTCATTTCATGGCTTATCGCCTGAGTTTGGTCTCTGAGGGTGACTGTATCCACCTCAACCATGACATTTCTTGTGTGCTAGTTCTAAATATGAGGGGGAAATAGAAAAAACCTGAGAGCTCACAAAGCACCAGTGCAATCATATTCCTCCACTGCGTGCTGCTCACTGAGGCTTGTAAACCATTCCCACCACTGGGACATGGATCTAAAGAGCAACATGCTGAGCAAACAGCATACTAATATTGCTCATGAAATGAGCTGCCTGCCCATAAACATTTTTTATATCTGTGTAGAACTGCATGGCATCTGGGCTTCACAGTTCAATTGTAGAAAAAACTAAGGCAGTAGTGCTGGAGTTTTTCTGTAGTTTTTTAAGGTGAATCAGAAAGTCAGTGTTCAGAATATGAACTTACAGGTAGAATTTCCCTCTTCATGGCCTGGGGGACAGGAAGGTTTGGAGGCAGTTGTAGGAGGCTGAGAAACAGAAAGTCAGAAGGTGGGATGGAAACAGGACCTCAACTGGTAAAGAGCAAGGGAAAAGAAAGGGCTGGTCCAAATGCCTGCAGTATTGATGTCCCCCCCCAAAAAAAACTTACAAGTTTTCTTCAGAATTGCTAAATAATTGGTTTATGATTTACTGAGCAGGTGTACTGCTTTCTATTATATTATATTATTAGTACTCAGTTTGCTTCCTGATTGTTTCTCTTTTAAAGGTGCAAGCTATTGTGCTGCTTTTAATTGTGATGAAAGAACCACAACTTGTGAAGAAAGTATGTTTCCAAAATGCATATGCCAAAGTCCTTACTCAAAGACAAAATGGGATGATCGTTCTTGTTCAGGTAAGCTACTTTATCTACCCCTGAAAGGCTGACCTGGTTGTTCCTTGTCTCAGTCCCTTTTTGAAAAGGGCACTCTGCAAACCTCCCAACCTCAAAAAATCAGGGAATGCGTGTCTAATTAAGAAAGCCATAGAAACACATTCTCACATTTCACTTTAAACACATCCCTAATCCTAGTCCAGTAGAATGAACTACTAAAGCCTGAGAAAACTGATAAGAATTGAAACCTAAATAGGTAAAGAAGGGAACAAATTGAATCCTATATTCACAGACTTCTCTGCTAGGACATATTTTGGGAATAAATTCTACATGCAACCTGGAGGCAGCTATGGGGACACTGACAGAACTGGAAGTCTCATGATGCATTACAACAATCTGTTAAAGCTCTGTCCTTTGTTGGTAGTTCTACAATGACATTGCCTGTGTTTAGACAGGTTTTTGTGGGAAGAATGGTTTAAGTGTTTTTTAGGAACTGTTAGTTGTTGGGGTTTTATCAGTTTGTTGGTTTTGAATCTTTTAATGAGTACTCTGTTTATATTTTTAGATGTACCTTATTTTCTTCTTATGAACACTAAAATTTTCACACTACAGAAAAAAAAGCCTAATACATGAGATTTTAAGAAAAACAACAAATATTGCAAACATGCATAATAAAATAATGAAAGATGGCTACAATAAAGACCAGTGAGATATGATCCAGTGTAGGTCTTTGTGGCCCCTAGCCTGCCTAATCTGATCCAGTTACAGATCAGTTGCAATACAAATCCTGTGCTGTGAGATCAAACTGCAGGTCATTTCTTGCCTATGTATGATGCAGCCTAGCCAGATTTCCATTCTGATAACGCTGGGTGGTTTAAACAAAGACCATTTACCTTTAGTTTGTGCTTTTGCATTTCAGTTTCTGTTCTACATAGTATAGCCCTAAAAAGCCATTCTGGTGCTTTGAAGCACAACAAAGTTGTGTGTGTTTACAGTGCAATTAAAAAAAAAAAAAAAAAAAGAGGGAGCAGAATCTTCTCCAGTGTGGACTTTTTTGTGGCTATCTTCAATTCACTCTGTTTTTTCCCTCTGAAAATACAGATTGCAGTAAGAACTGTTCTGAAGAAGAAAATGAGTATTGTGCAAAAGAAAAAGGGGTTCCAGTATGCAAATGCATGCCTGACTTCAAAAAGAAGGATGGAAAATGTGTATCGTGAGTACTCAGCTTTTTCCTTTTTCTTGCATTCCTGTGTGCTAGGCAAAGATAGGGCAGAAGAACATCTAACACAGGGTCACCTTCCATCTAGAAGAACAACCTGCAGCTACGTGAATCAGAGAGGTGCCTAAGGTGGTTAGCAGGTGGACAAATTCCCATGGTGTCACAAGTTATGTCATTTTAACTGCTTGGCATTAGCCATTGGTGTGCACTCATAAAACCTCAGAGGAAAGTCAAGGAGGTCCAAGATCATCTGTGAGTCAGTGAAGAGGATAAACTGCTTCACACTTGTGTGTTGCCTACATAAACATAAACTATTCCCTCAGAGTAATTGAGCCATGGGAACTAGTATGCTGAAGTGTTAATAAGCACCAGGCATTAAGGCAAGACTTGCCTTAAATCCCTGGAAAAATCCCCACTGATATCAGTGGGGGCTCTGTTTCCTGATAACTTTCAGACCTATGTTATTTTGTCTTGGTTTTCCCTTTGTGGGTATTTCTGTCAGCTCAGGATCAGAACAGATCAGTGTTGTTTGCTGGTGAAGCTGAGTAGGTGACTGGCTGTACTCTGCTCCCATGGATAAGGAGAGGGACCTTACTCCCCACATCCATTAATTCAGCTATTTTTGTAGTTACTGCTGCTACACACTGTACACTTGTTACCATAAAGTCGATGCTTGGGGAAGAGTGGCTGGAAAGCTGCTTGGCAGAGAGGTATCTGGGCGTACTGCTTGACAGCCGACTGAATATGAGTCAGCAGTGTCCCAGGTGGCAAGCCAACAGCATCCTGGCTTGTATCAAAAGCAGTGTGACCAGGAGTAGGGAAGTAATCGCTCCCCTGTACTCGGCACTGGTGAGGCTGCACCTTGAATGCTGTGCTCAGTTTCAGGCCCCTCACTACAAGAAGGACATGGAGGGGCTGGAGCATGTCCAGAGGAGGGCAACGAAGCTGGTGAGGGGGCTGGAGCACAAAGCTGACAGGGAGAGCTGCGGGAAATGGGGTTGTTTAGCCTGGAGAAGAGGAGGCTGAGGGGAGACCTTATTGCCCTCTACAACTGCCTGACAGGAGGGTGTAGCAAGGTGGGCATTGGTCTCTTCTGGCAAGTAACAAGCAATAGGACAAGGGGAACTGGCCTCAAGTTGCACCAGGGAAGGTTTAGATCTGACATTAGGAAAAATTTCTTCACTGAAAGGGTTATCAAGCACTGGAATGGGCTACCCAGGGAAATGGTTGAGTCCCCACCCCTAGAGGCATTTAAAACATGGTAGATGAGGTGCTTAGAGACATGTTTGGGTGGACAGGTATGGTTGGGCTCGATAATCTTAAAGGTCTTTTCCAACCTAATGATTCTATGATTCTATGATATATTTTAAATACAAGAAACTAGTATGGGAGGAAGACAAAGAGCTGCCAGTCATTATAGACCTCATTGAGGCTTTTGATAAAGACAGTGGGTAGCAAGTCCAAGTGGCTCAGAGGTATAAGGCTTAGCTGTTTGCAGAAATGAGGCACTTTAGACATTTTTCAGGGTGAGAACCTGAAACTTTGAGTGCCCAGATCACCAGTCGTTCTGAAAATCTCAGATTATTTTGCTCTAACAATGAAAGTAAACAATTCCATATTAAGATAGCATTAGAGAGGAAACCTGTAATGAATGCGCCTTGCAGAGAAATTGCTGATAAAAGGTGGAAATATACTGTTGTTCTTTGATCATCTGCTTAATGGCATTATCCTTCTTTTCCTTTTTTTCTCTCATGTAGCTGTCCAGTGGGGTACTCTGGAGAGAACTGCAAGAATGGTAAGTACAAGAACTTCTGATTTTTAATTACAGCATGGAAAAATATCCAGTAATATATAATCTGGCTGAGATAAAAATAATAAGTAGTAGCCTTTAGAGATGCCACCATCCTGTACTGATAGCAGGAAAATATTAGGAAAAGTGAGAGAAATTCCACTGTTTCCTGGAAAGAAAAATCCTTTTTGAAACTCATGTTCAGACAGACAGTAGCATTTCCTCTAATGACATCTGTATTAAGACCAGTAGTTTTTAGTCATACACAGGTTATTTGATAGAAAAGCATTTTGTTCTCATCTAAAGACATGCAATGCTGCACTCAGCACCACTAATGGATTAATATCTCATGTAATTTATCACTCTCTCTATTAAAACATCAGTGGATTGCTCTCATTTGAAATGTTTCTGCTTTAATATCCAACCACTGGTTCCTGTTTGTGCTTTACCCCACAAGCAAGCACTGCACAGTATGTAGTATTCTATAGTGATGAAGAGATGATAGCCCCGACTGTGTGTTCCCACAATTGTAATCATCTGGACAAACTAACCATGCTGGTCTTTCAAAGCTATTTCCCTTTTCTGAGTCAGTTTTGCAGCTGTTCACTGCACCTGCTCCAGTTTCCACCATCGTATATATTAGGAGAGGACATTCCTCATGCCTTCTGGCGTTTGCATGTGCCTAAACTCAGAACATCTAATACAGTCAAAGGCAGGTTGAAAAGTGAACAGTTATGGTTCTTCACTTCTCAGAAGTCCTTTGGCTTTATCTGAGCCAAATGTGACCCTTTGGAGTCTCACACTGCTGCATTCTTATACATATATACGTTTAACATACCTGTGTCTGCAGCTATGACATCTTCAAAGGTTTTCTTCTGGTCTTATCTAAAAGTTTTGGAGATTGGCTGACAGTAGTTGTAGTGCAACCCAGGCGATCTTGCCAGGTGTAAATGTTTGGCAGGAGGGATGTTTTTCATCACATGGAACACATCTTTCTAGAGAAAGTTTTGGGAATTTTAAGGCATTTTTCATAAAGCAAATGAAAATGCTGAATTGGCACAAAATCAACACACTGTGAGTTTAAACACAAATTTGGGACCTACTACTAATAAACACCATTAATAACCTTATCTTCTCTATATGGCACTTGGTGGGTACTGATGTAGAAAGTTTGCTGAGCAATAACCAAGGATACTTTATACACGTGTTTGGCATAACACTCTTTTTGAGCAGTCATATTCCCTGTTGTCTCGCTGTATCCTCCTGTGATTAAATGTGCTGGATGGTTCTGCTGGTAATGGCACAGTTAGTGGTTTCATGTTGTGCATCCCCAGTATAGGCATTCAGTATACTAAATGGCAGACGCATAAATCCAGACTGGGATCTTCAAGTAGGTACCACCAGTAAGGTTGGGTAGCTCAAGAGACTGTCTTAGTCTTCACACCCTTATTTTGAAATTATGCCCTGGGGGACACAATTCTTTTTTTTTTTTTTTCCTTACCATGGCTGTGCAGAGCTAAGACTAAGTTTTAGTAGCAATTGCATTCACAGTTGAAGGAAGATATACAGAATCCAGGTCTTCCTCCCTTCGTCATTCTGTTTCTGCAGCAAGATCAGTGAAAATGAATTTTCCTTGCCAAACATTTATTCAGATATGGGATATTTATGCAGTCTTCATAGTGCCGTATAAGAAACATCTCAAATCAGCGTGCCTTATGTGCCTAGAGCTTGGGAAGAACCTATCTGACATCTAACTACATAGTTTAGCAGCAGCACTAGCCTAAGCTACCCCTATGCTCTCCCAGTTGTTCCTGTCCCTCAGGTGTACTGGAACCTGAGCAGAGATCAAAATAGCCATCCAGAAGAGATGATCTTTAATACAGATCAGTTCCTCCATTTACTTATTTCTGTGTCTACAGACAGTTGTACAGAGACAGCACCAGGATCCTGGGAATGAATAGTGTCTTTCTTTCTTTTTCTTTCTCTCTGTCTTTCTGTCTGTCTTTCTAATAAGAGACAAGATTTGGCTTGCAATATTTACCATGAGTTTTCAATTGCTGTTTCTTGTTTGTTTGTTTTCTTTCCAGATAGAGAACTTATCCTTATAATAGTGGGTACAGTGTTTGGAGCAATTATCCTGAGTTTGGTGATAGCAGTCTCTGTTGTTTCAGTAAGGTAAGATTATTTCTGACAATTGAATAGAAGCTGCATTGCTGCATGTTCCTAGAGAACTAAGCAGAAATTTAGACAGGGGCAGGGCTGTGAATGTGGTTGCATGCCTAGCTGGGCAGACAGGTTCATTTAAGTCATGTAGCCATTAGAATTTGGTTTTGCCTGTGTGCTCTCCCCAGAAGTATTTATTCTCTTGATATGAGTCTGAGTATGAAAGCTCCATCTAAGTCTTTCAAAATACACATCTGACCCCTTAATCCTAGTCCTGCTCTAGCCAGGGCCTATGGCATCTAGATGAGACTGGAGAAGGATGCTGATACCGAAATTCAGACTGTCTGCAGCTTTCCCTGCTAGCACTTCAGCTCAAGGCCCAGCATGCCCCTTTCAGCTCAGGTGGCATTTCCAGCCAAGCATCTCTTTAAAGCTTGCTCTTCCTGGTGTACTGGCAAATTCCCAACTGCAGTTGCACCTCCTCACTCCTCTCCACACAATAAATACAGAAACACTCAAGCAGCTCCTCTGCCTTTGATCTCAGCACCGCCCAGGTAAAGATGCCTCCAAGCCCATCCATAGCAGGCATAGCTTGCCAGCAGGTGCACAAGCTGGTGCCAAGTGTACACGTGATGTATGGACTTGTGATCACAGGCAGTTCAAATGTGTTGTTTGAGTGTCCAGCTTTGGCTGCAGGCTTGAAGGTGACTTTTCTTAACTGAGCTTAACAAATGCCTCATTTCTTCCTCCCAATAGTCAGAGCTGGTGGTGGTGAAGGAAACTCCTTCACTTTAGGAACTAGTTGAAAGAGGCCAAAGTCCCCTGCTGTCTCTCCTAGCAGCTTAACCCCATCTACAATAAGAGATGCCAAACTTTGCACTCTGTCATCGATAACAAGGGTTTCGCAACAGGTGTGCTAGAAAAATCTGCTGCATGTTTCAGAACAGGACTGAGCATTCAAAATAAGGTGGGAGTGGACAACTCAGTAATTTAGACTTACTCAATAAGGCACATTAAAATGTCTTTTAAAACCTCCTTTGTTCTTTCATTTCCTCTGAAGAGCCAAACACAAGCAAGATCCAGAGAAGAAGAGACTGATAAAGTCAGAATATTCCAATCCAAATACCTCTGAAGATAGACAGACCACGATGTTCCCCAGAGTCCAGACCACCACTTCTGGCCACACGAACCCAGGATATCAGCCAAACAACCCATACCAGATGCGTTCCTCAGACAGAGGTCGTTTTCCAAATAGGGATTATGATGATTTGGTAAGTGTTTCCACAGGAAATTTTGTTCCTGAGCTGTAACATTGTGGGCTACAGTCATTGTTGGAACCTATACTCCACTCTGTCCACCCTCCCTTGATCTAGAAAGCCAAAGTGTTATAAAGACAACCAAACAACTGTAGCTGCAGCTGAAAAAATTTCCCTAATACAGAGATCAGCACTCATGAAGACCTTTCTAATGCCCCCATAGTCATCCTTGAGTCACCAGAGAGATATGTGAAAAGCAAAGGTCAAAGCAACAGTTTGGCTGCCCAGTGGTCTGCTATAGGACATTTGTCTGCATTGACCCAAGACATCCTTTAGCACAGGCACGCGTGCAAGCATCACAGGCTGTTACAACCAGTGCTGCTTTTAAGCCAGCTGTAGTGTCAATAGGTGCTGCAGTGGCACTTCCCACTTGCAGCCTCATGCAAGATTCACAGTCAGCTTAAGCTGGCACAGCTGCCCAGAGGATCGGTGTTCTCCCACCTGCTTTGCCACTGCCTGGTTCAGGGCAAGAGCCTCTGCAGTTGCTGCAGCGTTGCAAAGGGGTAAAGTGTAAAGTTCTGTGAAAAAGCTAGCACAGCTTTTGCATCGATATAGCCCAGAGGAGCCTGCTCAGCAGAAGCATGTCATTAGCTGGAAGGTCTGTTCTGAAAAAACTGCCTGTTTTATCCTTGAACTCTGCAGTGGGCTGCGGAGGGAGCAGGGACTTGAGTTTAGGGATGTGGTTTAGTGGTGGGATGGCAGTGTTAGGTTAATGGTTGGACTTGATCTTAAAGGTCTTTTCCAACCTAAACGATTCTATGATTCTGTGATAAGTGCTGTGCTGTGATGCAATTTATTTGCTGGGTTCTGCATGCATCCAGTAAATGGGAAGCACGTTGTCCAAAACTCATTTAAATGACATTGTAATTCCACCTCTGCGGTGCAAGAAACTACCCCTGTTTAGTGAAGAAAATGTGTTTAATTGTAATATGCTCGTGTTTTGCAGAATTGAGGCCTAAACCATGATAGAAGCAACACAGAAACCTGATGTTTAAAAAACCACACACCCCTCCTTTTAAAAAGCTGCCAATTAAGAGAAGACAAATATCTGTTTAGTTAGTTGACTGATCAGATTCACATGGATTTTTGCCATTTCTCACTTTCCAAAGATGTCAACTTTTCACCAATTAAAATCCTGCTGTAAAACACTTTTGGTTTTCCTTGAGGACTAGTGTGTCACTTAGAGAGAGGGCTACCATGCGCTGAACTGTTCTGAGAAAGGAGCTTTCTGACCCAGAGCTACTCCATTTCTTTTCTTGTCCAAATCCTCTGTAGTATGAAGCATCACGGGAGCCTGAGGGCTTTAGGATGCAGAGCAGCAGATACTAAGCAACCGGAGTGGTAGAAGGATGGATGACCACCGCGACAATGGGTCAGACCAAGGAGTTTCACAGCCTCTCACCAATGCAGTTACTTCAGCAGAAGGGACAATGAAGTCCATAACCCTGGATTCCCTGAAGATTTTCTAAAGGAAGACCCCTGCTTGGGAAAGGTCATGGACAACTCTCTGAAATAAGGGAAAAATGAAGTAGAGGGTAGGGAGAAGAAGACTTTAAAAAGAACTAACAGTCTCCAGTAAGCTTCTTTCTGGAGGCCAGTACATTGGCAGGGTAGTCAGTATAGACAAGATGCCAGGATTTTAACCCTGCCTTTTTTCAGTTCTTCTGGAAGATGGTCCAGGCAATATGTGTGATGCTGAAAAATGTCAGCACCCAGAGCTTTGCCTGTATTTGTGCTCACTCCATTTCAGCTACAGGCAGCCTGCATGGCTTTGGGCAGATCACAGTGAGATCATAACTGTTCTTCATGAGAACCTAACCTGTTTCTCTTTACTGTATCAGATGCAGTCTTTTTCCCCCCTCCCTCAACCCCTCAATATTTCCTATCTGAAAGCATTCAGCTCAGATCTCTGCTGACAGGCGTTGTGTGAGACAATGGTACTTGTCTGACCTTTCGTGCAGCCTTCCTTCCCAATAAAATGACAGGAAACAGTATCTTCAAAACCCCACTATTGTCCTACATTTTGCACAACTACATTGATTTTACATTCTCGGCTCCTGCGGAAAATGTTAGTGTTGTTTATTTCTCTTGCACTCTTTACATTTTGATTGAATCATCTTAAGTCTTTTTAGTTTTCATTTCTTAGATACACTCAATAAATCTCTTGTAAAAGAATCAACATTTTACTGTATTTTACTGAATGTGCATTATCTGTTGACTAGCATTAGCATTTCCTTATATATATAAAATATATATATATGCACAAATATGTACATATATTTATAGATTATGTTAAAGCATCATTTAATTTCATGTTATATTTCGTGTTTTGGTTTTTATATATGCAGATTAACTTTTCCTATTAAACATTATTGTTTCTCAGTACCAAGGCTTTCTCATGTTGCTGCCCAGTGGTGTACACGGGTTTATTTTAACAACCCCAGAGACTATTTTATGTTAAAATTTGTGGCAGAGTTTAGATGGAAGTGTGCATAGACTGGCCACATCAGCACCCAGCTTTCACTCAGAAGTTCTGATCAAAAATATTATGAAATCTTAATAAATCTAAAATGTTTGTTGTTGTAGGGCTGGCACCAATTTTCTGCGATCGCTTTTGATAGGAATTGTGTATTTAGTGCAGCTGGGTGTCCTTTGAAAACGCCAGGCAAGCTTCTCTCTGTGATGGCATCTCTGTGCGTATCAGTCTGTTAATATCACACAGCTAAAAAAAGAAGTGTTGTCCAACTTAAATGACAAGTTTGGGGACCAGTGGTAGTTTAGGGGGCCACTGTATGTGGCTGTAGAGGTTACCAGCACGTGCATGCAGACAGGTTGTTCCAGTGCTCTCGGCGATTAAAACCAGCTCCCACTCACCAGTTATGCAGTTGAAAACTGGAAACGAAACAGTCCTGGTCTTTCTCATGTGGCTTCTCTAGCAAAAGAAGACAGACCCTGCTTCCTCTGAGCTGGCTGCCGTGAGCAGTTCAGAGAAGCAGCCTGGTGAGAAAAGGTGCAAGTTTCTCTCTGTTGTTTTCCTGGGTTTTCACTGTTAACTGGCAGAATTTCTTTCTTCCAGTTGACTCCTGTCCCCTTTGCACAGCGCCTGCCGTTGGCAGGTGTCCATAGGAGGCCAGATTCTGGTGGCCTTAGCCACCCTCCACTGCCTGTGTGCGTCTCAACCTGCACAAGGCGACCTTGACTCCATGAGAGTGGGGCCAGCTGGATTTAGCTACTCAAGATACCTTATGCAAAGGATGGTAGAGATTTGGTCTTGCTTCCTGGACTTTTCCTCTGAGAGTACTCGCCCGTGAGGAGTGAAGCAAGGCATGGTGGCTACCCTTAGCACGAGAGGCAGACAGGCCCCGTCCTTCCTCCAGCTCAGAAAGGGGGACCAGCTCCCTTCCCCAACAGTTTCACTGATGTTCTTTCATGACTGCTGCCTCCTTCTTTGTCTTTGACCCCTGCATCCCCACCGTTCCCCAAATAAAAGAGATGCTCCCTGCTTCTAATCCCTCTGCTAAGCCCTTTCCTTTTCCAATTTTTCCTGATTTTTCAGCTGCAGGGAAAGGTTCTGCTGCCAGTAGAACACTCCAGGGAGTTTGCAGAGGGTGAGGCACTGAAAAACAGGTGGGACACAGGCAGAACGAATGGCAAGTCATGAAGCTCAGTGTAGACTTCTACTTTGTTCAGCCGCCTGTTTGGATACCCCCTCCTCCCTTCTTTGGATGGCAGACTGAAGATTAGGGTTTTCTCTGTATCAGGAGTAACAGCCCATGCATCATGGTCTTTCGTTGAGGTAAACTGCCTGGTTCCATCAGCTTACTGCAGAGGATCCTTAAAATACATGTAACAGGAGCCTGCTACGAAGGCACATGAAAAGGCTTTTAAATGTTATCTCTTACTCTTTCTCAGAGAGATAGGGCTTGGAAATATACCTGAAAGCTCAACGATAAACAAAACTTTAATGCAGTAAAACTTTATTGAGGGTGTGATATCTAGACTTCTGCTGTCATTGATAATAAAAGCAGGAAAAATAGTCAGGTGTTTGCATCACTTAACTGCAGAGGAATTTTCATTGCTCTTGTTCAAAGCTAATTTCTGCAACTGCAGCCAGTTCTCATTTAGCCTGTGCTGGGGAGGGGCTATCAGATACTACTGTAAGCTTACTACCCTTTAGCATTTCAAAGGCTGCTGCAGCTATTTTATCTGGACTGGAATTCTGTACCGAAAGGGCAAACTCTCAGATATTTCATTTCTGTTTGGTGATTCCGTTGGGACATGTGATCATGGAAAATGGTTCTTTGTGGTGTTTTATGACTGCCGCTGCTTGGCTCACGCTTTGTTTCAGCTGCCCATCCTTCAAAATCCAACTGGGCATGGGAAACAGAGCTGAGTGTGACCCTCACCCATCAGTGTGAGAGAGGAGGTGCCTGCAGGCAGGGTGAGAGGCTTCAGAAAACAGACACAATTTGTGCTGCGTCCTGGGATCCCACATCCACCTGCTCCCCCGAGATACAGGGTGTCCTGCTGGCACATGACCCACAGAGGAGGTTGGAAGATGGCGCCACTCAAGTCTGCCACCTACTTTTGTCCTGACCAGAATTACGCTAAGAGAGCACAAAAATGACACTTGCTTGGCACATCTGCACAGGGCACTGTTTGGATGCCCAGCGTCCAGACTTGCACATGAAAAGCAGCACTTTTCAAGCCTGAAAGCAGGAAGCATTTTGCATGTTTCTAGTTACGTGCTGGTGAAAACCACTCCTCGTTTTCTTTATGAGATGGTATTTACATAGATCCTGCATGCCATGTGCCAGGCTGGAGGCATAAACAAGTGAGAGCGAGCAATGAAGGTAAGACACCATTGGAGACCCAAGGGCTTGACTTTTCACTTCTTGTGCACTTCCTTTGACTTTGATGGCTTGTTGTTTTCAAGGTGAACACTCCTTCCCACAGGAGGAGTAGGGGTAAGGGAAAAGGAACCTCTCCTCTAGAAAGAAGCGCTCCCCTCCTCGCTAGGAATGGGACAGAAACCCCCAGTAAGGAGAGGTTTTAGGGAAACGCAGGTGAGGGCTGAAGGGATGCAGGCAGATGTCCCAGTGAACATTACTGTCCCTAGCTGGTTTTGGGGAGACCACCTTGGCTTCATCCCAGGCTCAGGAGGGTGACTGGACCCTGACACAACCCAGGGACAGAGGATCCTGCTTGAAATCTGGGGGTCTGGAGCACAAGTCTTACGAGGAGCGGCTGAGGGAACTGGGGTTGTTTAGTCTGGAGAAGAGGAGGCTGAGGGGAGACCTGATCGCCCTCTACAGCTACCTGACAGGAGGCTGTAGCGAGGTGGGGGTCGCCCTCTTCTCCCTGGTAACGGACGATAGGACAAGGGGAAATGGTCTGAAGTTGCGCCAGAGCAGGTTTAGGTTAGACATTAGGAAAAAATTCTTCACCGAAAGGGTTGTCAGGCTCTGGAATGGGCTGCCCAGGGAGGTGGTCGAGTCCCCATCCCTGGAGGTATTTAAAAGAAGGGTAGATGAGGTGCTTAGGGACATGGTTTAGTGGTGGGATGGCAGTGCTAGGTTAACGGTTGGACTTTATGATCTTAAAGGTCTTTTCCATCCTAGACGATTCTATGATTCTATAATTCTATGAAATCTGGGGTTTGTTAGCCCAGGGCCACAAGCCACAGAAAGGCAAAGAGGCAAGCCTAGCACTGCCTCATTCACCTGCCGCTCCTGTGAGAAGAGGGCTGTCATTTGTCAGGTTTGGCAACTGCAAAGTCATCAATTGCTATTTTTTTCCCAGTTTCCCACCCTTCAACTTTTTTTTTCCTTTTTAGCCCAGTAATGCTCCCTGTTTCAAAGCCTTGTGTCTGGTGTCTGTGGATGAAGCAGGTTTGCTTATTAAGGGTTCCCAGGAGGATTAAATTGACTTCTTCCAGGTTTTGGGGTGTGAGCTGAAGATGCTGATTTTTGCAGCACCTAGTCAAAAAGATCCCCAAACCCAACCCTAAAAGCCCAAAGTGATCTAAAATCAGGGAAGCCCATAAAACATGTCAGGTCACAATCAAACAGGGAACAAATAGGGCTAAAAATAAGAATCTGTAACTTGCCTTGCAAAGGATGCTCTAACTGCTGATAAAAGGCTCTTTAAATATATCAAAGCCGCAAAGGCAGCTAGGAAATCGGTGGGCATGCTGATGGCCAGGGTATAAAAGGGGCCGATGGGGGATAATGAAGATGTAGCAGAGGAGCTCAATGATTTCTCTGTGGCTGTTTTTACAGCTGAAGCTGTTGGGGAGCTCCCCACATCTGTCACGCGCCGCAGTGGGT